CAGGCAGCTTCGACAGAACACAGACCAACTTTTACCTGCTGTCTTAACACTTCGTTTTAGAAAATACTACAAATGGCGCAGTAAACGCCATCTGTAGAACGATGCTACACTTGGACTGTGTTCTGTCGGAGCTGCCTGCGCGCGCTGATGAGATCCAAAAAGATCGAAATCGCGATCCGCGTCTGGCAGTTTCGACAGAATACAGACCACTTCGAATTATTTTACACCTTTGGTTTTTTATTGAAGCCAAAAAGCGTTTTATTTGTTCATATATACTAAATTTAAATAAAAAAGAGGGAAACGGTAAAGTAAATATTTGTTCAACCAGTTGATTTATTCGATATCATAAGTACACCTTGCTTAGGAGGGTCTATCCATTTCAGAAGCTATAGTAAATACTGATAATTCATAGTTTATTGTTAACATCTATGGGCCACCAAAACATTTGATACCAGGACAACTTTCTTGTTTCCTTTTAGCAAATTATCGTAGAAAAATAAAATTAAGATACAGTGTACCTTAAGTCAGGTACTTTTTAATTATATGGTAAAACAAAATTCAAACGTACTACAGCGACGATAATTTATCGACTACATCCTCTATGTTTTCTACAGGATGTGTTGTGAAATACTGAAGCTAAGGACATTGTTCTTTTTCTGGGAAATACGAAGTTTAAGATTAGTACTAGTCTATGTAGGAAAAATTTGAAAGATATTTTTTTGAAGTATTTATAGTAAAAGATAATTAATTTATATAAGTGGTCCTGTAATAAAAAATTGTCGGTATCAACTGTTCTAGTAGCATTTTGTATACATAATATGGTACGTAATTTATTAGACTATTGATACGGGGGAGTTAGTAAATATTGGTAAAAGCAAATTATAATAGAATTATACGAATTTATTGTAGGTACTACAGAAATTTCCTGTCACACTTAACAGTCCCAATTATTCAATTTTAAAATTTTTGAAGCAGCAATTTATTTGTCACATAAAGCCGTTTGTCTCGAGTACTGTTAAGTATGACGGTACTAACTGTAGCACTTCTGGATACTTCTTCGTGGGAAATTTTGGGGATTACAGACCAATCAATTGAAAATTTTCAAAATTAACAATAAGTCATCGAACAAACCGTACTGTTTTATACGTATTTTAACGTAAAACAATTTGCAGTTAACGTTGCCATTCTATTGTTTGTTAATAAAGTTCAAATAATTCTTTCATTTTAATTAAAATCATAATTCACTGCATTGTATCTTTTGTTAAAAAATTGAAATCTTTTCCCAGAAATATTCCTTGTAATTGATGACAACAAGTTCTAGCCAGTGTATTATTTCTTCTTATAATCTTACTAAATCCTTTTGAATAAAATTCAATTGTTCGAACACAAAGGGCATAGCCGGATTAATATGGGAAATTTGCCCCCGCGGCTTTTTCGACTCACACTCAGAGGATCGATTTGGTGTCGAATAAAAATAATTCACCTCAATTTTTAGCTCTTGAACTCAAACGGTATTCGAGATTTTCAGGTTTTTTCGTAAATCTCGAATACCGTTTGAGTTCAAGAGCTAAAAATTGAGGTGAATTATTTTTATTCGACACCAAATCGATCCTCTGAGTGTGAGTCGAAAAAGCCGCGGGGGCAGATTTCCCATATTAATCCGGCTATGCCCTTTTACGCCTATAAATATACTTTTTTACAGGATTACTTTTAGATTTTACCATAAGGGCTTATTAATTTCTGGTGTGATATTTCTTACAATACTTTTTCGGATACTTCGTATTCGTACAATTTTTTGACAAAGTTTACTTACTAATGTACTTTGATACGGATTAGGTAATATAGGTACAAGAAAAACTGTGTAGCGTAGCGCAACATTGATAATGTTCTCAATGCTCTTGTTTTATTTTTGGTGATAAAGTAGGGGCGGAGCTGCAATACCTAAACATTATACTCCTACGGCCGATACACGGCACTTTCATGAGGGAAGCTATTTAATTCTCGCCCTTTCAATTATACCAACTAAACAAGNGCAAAAATTGTAAAACCTGCTGAGATACTAAGTCGTTTGTTCATTGCTGAAAAAGTTAGTGTCGTAGTCAACGAAGACAGTGATCAAGACTAATCAAGTTACATTTTTTAATTATGATTATTATTTTTGTTGTATCAGATTTAAAATAATTTCTAACAGTAAAAATAGTCAAAAAAAAAATATCAGTGTTATCTTTGAGTATCATTTCAATCATCATCCACGCTTCTTATTACTTTAGGTAGAATATATCTTAATTTTGTATAATAATCTTTGAGTTTAGATCTGGTAAAGATGTATTATAAGTAAAAAAATATTTTCTACGCATTTTTTCAAATAAACAATTAATATAAGTTAGTTCAAACGCGAGATTTTAGAATAAAAATGAGTTTTTTATTTTTTTTCATATCGTTCCACCACTTCAAAAAATTCAGAAAAATTCCTGATTGTAGAAGAGCATAAAAGACATTATCTGACGAATTTTGGTGAATGACATATTTCAAAAACGTAAAAAAAATCAAGATTTTAACTTTCTTTTCTCCGCTAAAAATAGGCATTCCGTTTAAAAATCATGATCATATTATTTTTTCATGTCTTGGATTCCTAAGAATTATAAAAAAAATCATCATTGATTAATTTTGAATTTTACTATTAAAATAAAAATAAAATCGAAAAAACCTGTTTTTTTTTTCGAAAATCTCGAATACCTTTTGAGTTAATTATTTTTATTCGACACCAAATCGATCCTCTGAGTGTGAGTCGAAAAAGCCGCGGGGGCAAATTTCCCATATTAATCCGGCTACTATGCCCTTTAATTTTGTTTTTAATTGAATGGTCTGTTACGAATCGAACTTAAAAATTACAATAAAACATAGTTGACATGAAGAATGCGCAGTCTTTACATAATGACGTATCGCTAGCGTATTGGAATTATTGTTATTATTGTCATCTTACTATATAAGTATAACTAATGAACGAAATGGCGAAATCAAGTATACGAATAGAACGTGCTTTACAATAATGCAAGTAGCCGCGTTTGATGTCATTGTTAATCAAAAACAAGAGAAAGTATACAAGTAACAATTGAATAAATAACATAACGATATCTCGTCGATAGATTTTTTCTGTTGTTTTTTTTACCAACACTTACTAAGCGTTTTAAACAATGGTTGAGGCAGATGATCCTTAATAGTTTTAAGTACACACTCCATTTTTACTTAGGAAAGTATAAATTACGATATGTGCACACCTTAGCATTCCTTATCATTATATGGCTGTTTGATCTAATTAAAAATGTAGTTTGAATGTGAAATAAAATACTAATACTGATATCAAGTTAGCATGGTAAAAAACAGAATTGTGTTCAGTGGAATTTATTTGCGAAGGACCTCTCTAGATCCTTATGGAAAATTAATCTGTCAAACTGTTTGAAACTTTGAATTTTGATAGTTGTCAACGTGTTGATTAGATAAATCTCACTGAGAGCTAACTCGTAAAAACTATTTTTGAGATATGGTCCCTTAAAGTTATTCTCTTCCGTAAGGCGCTTCATGGTATAATTATGCCTATCGTAAGTATTGAATAGGTTCAAGTACCTACTTGAACGTATGATAGGTAGGTATAATTGTACCTTGGAAATCCTTACCGAAGAATGCAACTTTAAGAGACTATTTATTCTCGAAAAGATTAATTTTTATCACTTACGCGTCCAGAACTACCAGAATCCAAAGTTTTAAAGAGTTTGACAGAAGATAATTTTTCGTAAGTATGTAATGGGGTCGTTTACAATGTAGTACATAAGGTTTGGCCACGTTAGGTTAGGTTCTGCTAGCTTATGTGAGGTTAAGGAGCAAAACAATAATGTATGAAAGCTACAAACAGTAAATCATTTTAAAAAGAAAGATTCGAACATAATCGAAAATATCTTTATAAATAGAAGTTCTGTATTAGTTTGTAAGTTCGATTAACTATAATAATTTGTAATGTTTCGCTTTTCAAAAAAATCTATTATTATAATGGCATTTAAAGCATTTATGAATTTTTTTTTTTACTACGGTAACAATTATTATTGAAGAAATATATTTTTATTCGTTGTTGTATGGGTAATACAAAAGGAAACAATAATTTATTTTCTTTCGAGTTTACGTTGTTAAATATATTGCAAAATTAGTCCTTTGCGAAGATCAAACAGCCAAGCCTAACACTGGAAATAATTTCGTGCATAAATATAAAAATTCTACACATTTGACCATTCTCTTCATGTTCCTTTTTGTTCAAATTGACAATGAACTGAAAATTGACTAGATTTTCACCACAGCACACTTCCTAAACATAAATCGTGTAGCCACAATACTATATGATAGCTTTTTTTTAGGTTTGGAATCAGACGACGTCGTCGTCGTCTAGCTAAATTTTTCTCTTTTTTTATCATACGTGCTTACATCAAAAACCTACTATTTTACACAACAACTAGCACCGAAAAAAGAATGTATAAAAGACGCAACTAAAATGTGGTTTTTAGTTTGCCTCTTATTGCTATACAAGCTTAGTAGTACAGTATATTTATATATTATCATGGATTTTTTGGGTTATGTACATAAAAAACGCATAATATATATTCCTGAATCCATTCCTGCGCGAATACAAAAAGTAAAAACATACATCCAGCAACAATACTTAAATTTATTCTTTTGTTCTGTTCTTCTATTCGAAAGAATCACTCGCACATATGCGCGCGCATGTGTTATTCACAAAAATGCTTATCTTCTTTTTTACAACTTATTTGAGCACACTACTGCTGATTCTACATTGTTTAAGACAATAATGTAATACATCAAAGTGAATTAATTTTTACCATTACAAATAACCTGAAATTAACTAAGAAAAAAATATTGTTGCTGTGATGCTCTCGCCGGGAATCGAACTCGGATTTCTGGCTTTACGAACCATTGCTTAACACTAAGCCTCGAGAGATGACAGTAGCAACAACAATGATACATACCTAACTTCGTAGGTCACAGAATCATCGAACCAATGTATAATCGTTATTAACAATGAGACATTTAGGAGAATTTTTGGAGGGTTAATTTAAATACGTTAAAGTGAATTAAATTTTTGAATTAACTTGAGGTTAAAAATTAATTCACTTCACTGTATTGAAATTAACCTTACAAAAATTCTTCTAAATGTCTCATTGTTAATGCGATTATGGAACAACGCTGTCAAAACCATTCAGATTGCTGAAACGTTAGGTTAGGTTGGGTCCCACATCTTGTTGTAAGCAAATCAAACCTTAAGATTCTGTGTTTTCTTTTAGTTAACAAAAAAAAGTATAAGCATTTTTGTGAGAATATTGTTCGATGAAATGTGTTTTGTGTATGAACGGCGAGCATGAAATGATTTCGGAAATGGTGTTAGCAAAGTGTCAACATAACAATACAACATTAGTAGTTTTTGTCAATCTGTACATATACGATATCATATTGATTACAAATGTCAATCAACAATTAGTAGATGAGTAAACAAATTTTGAAGAACACTATTAGTTACGTCATGTAATCACATATAAAGAAAAAACAGCTGACCGCGTAGATCAATATTATTTACATTAGTAAATGGATAATGGTTTTTGTCCATCAAATCCCATTGGGATGCGAACCTGCATATTATTATTGTTATTATTGATGATCGAAAAGTTGTATGACAAGCGATATTATGTTAGGTACGATGATAGTAGGTATCGTTATTCCTTTGTTTCATTGTTTTTAATTATCATTATTTTAGAAAAAGTAAGTAGCGATATGAGTGGCATTTATGATTAGGTTTTTTCTAATGATGTGATTAAATCGGCCGATAAACACGGCCTTCTTTTTTTATAATTTTTAATTCTAACGAGTATTTCCTAAAATTCATTTTTTACATCGTATTTGTTAGTTAGTTAGTTAGTTAGTTATTTAGTACGTTACGTAGCTAAATTGGCTAAAAATTTTCTAGTTATAGGTACATCCTGCCTACTTTAAATTAATGGCAGTGATCATCAAAGTATCTTTTTTTGTGCAGTTCAGTCCCCGCCAATATGTCGCGCCAAGTTTTTTTTGCTTGTAAAAGACTTTTCTCCTTAGTCTTCTCCATCGTCTTCTTTAGAATATAAGCGTTAACGTTACAGAACAAAAGGAAGTCTTGAAATTGTGCAAAAAACATTCTCTAAAATCCTAGTATACACACACGCCTACGGTTATACGTAGTAGTACAGTATTAGTAGTTAGTATTATTATTATTAGTAGTATGAAGTAATAATTCTCTATATCCCATTGCGCATATACTTAATATAGTTTTTTAATATATTTTTTTAACAACGATTCTAACCGTTAAATTTGATTCTACAAGCAGACAATTTAATATAAGTAATAATAATAATAATAATAAACTCAACAGTTGTTCTTGCAAAATATCAGTACGTCCACACGTAATAGTATATGCATCTTATTACAATATCATCCCGTTAAACATAGAAAATTGTGTTAAGTAAACTATTTTTCTTTAACCTGTTGTCACAGTTGAAATAATTAGTTTGTCATACAAAGATTACAACCCTTGTTGTCGGTAATCATCAGAGTCGGCTTGCTTTAGAACCTCCCTCCGTTTAGTCACTTTGCTCGCCGTCTCCCTCAACATCTTTCTCGCCAACCTCTCTAGTGGTGCTGTCCTCCGTTTCAATACTGCTGGTGGGAGTGGGAGTATCTTCCACCGTCAGGTGGACAGTACCATTACTTTGAGTAACGTTAGGACTCGTATCGAAACTACTTGTTTTGCTCTCCCTGCTAGGAGTGGGGCTTGGACTGTACTTATCACTCCCGTAACCGCCGGTACTAAGATAACCATTCTTAGAGTCGTACCGTGTATCAGAAGTTCCAAAGAGCGAGTCTGATGTACCGTAAATGTTCTTCGTATTTAAAGTGCTGTACTTGTTGGCATCGCCATAACTGCTATCGGAAAATGAAAACGGTTTCGAGAAATCTTTCGTCGAACTTATCGTGTTGTACTTCTCCATGAAACTACCGGATTCGCCTGGAGCGTATTGCATGTAAGCACCTGTTAAAAATGGATTTGTGCTCGCGTACGTTAACGGTTGTTGTGTTGTATACGTGCTTCCAAAAATGTTGCTAGCTGTACTGCTAATTGTGGTCGATGAGGAGAACGATGGGGTCGTTGTGGCCATTGTGACATTCAGACCTGCTGAGGTTGCTTGCATGGCGGGAGAGCTGGACCTGGTTGTGGCCGACGCCGACATCAGGGAGGGAGAGGCCCTTGCCAAGCTGCTTATCGACGGAGAGTGCTTCGGACCCGGCGAACTGACCGTAGCAGAAGACGGGGAGTTACGGAGACTCGACAGCGTGACCGAAGGCGAGCTTCGCAGCTGCGTGGCAGCGGAAGATTGGGGACCGTTCGCGATCGAGGGCGAGTGACGAGAGCTGGGCGATGGGGGGGCGCGCACTTTGGGCGAACCGATGCGTCCGTGTGGCAGACAGTGTTTAACGGAGTCGGAACCCGATTGAGAATCGCTGCTACTGCTTGGCGAACCTGGTGAGGATACTATCACTTGGCGCGGCTTGAGACCTGCCGGTACCGATGGAAGCGGACCGGCCCGAGGAGAAAGAGGACGGTAGAGACCTTTGCTTGCTGATGATGGGTCCTAATTTTACAAAAATTGCACGTCTGTCTTAGAATCTTTGAAAAAGGAAAGGGGAAAGTGGAACAGTTGGTGTTTTTGTAGTACTTACGAGTGTCTGATGTGATTGGACCTGTTGCACAGGGCCTCGATATTCCGAGACTGCTGAGCGAAGAGGAGGAGGACACGGAGCCGCTGAGGGCCGAGACGGCGCGCGCACCAGAACCATCTGTTGACCTCCCAGAGGCAACGCACTGCGACTGTCTCCACGCTGCTCGGCTAGCTTGGCGCGCCGACCTGTCTGGAAACGCACCACTCTCAATACCAACAACATCGCCACATGTCAAGTTTTATTGCTACACCAATCTAGCAAGCTCGACATTTACATTAGTCAAATTTAAACTACAAAATACTGTTATTTTCTTTAATTTAGGAATATAATGAAAAACGTAAGAATTGCAAGAAGAAAGTATACTTCGTATACTTTCTGTATCGATGTGACCTTCAGTTTGACCGGCGCAAAGTAGAAAAGAACAGCACTAGGTCAGAAAAGGAAGGAGACAACTCTCGGCCAAACTCTTAACTGCACGGAAAAATTGACCATTTTATCCACTACAATTGCATTACTCAAATGTGCTGTTATTGGTACCATTTATTACTGAAAATATCAACGAGATGTTTATTTATATTTGAAGACATATTAAAGGCTTTAACGCTTGTTTTCGATTCGCACTACTATTCATGATTGAACAACACTTTTGGCAGGTACTGTATGAAAAAGTATGTTTAATGAACAAGAGTTGAGAGTATAATGAACTTCCTGTCTACTATTTTGCCAACGCGCGTCCAAGACATTGGAAGGGGCAAATCGCTAGAGAAAGTAGATGAAGTACGACAAAGATTTCCAAAAACAACTGATGAAACAAGAAGTATATCTCTATTTAGAGTTTCATTAAAATTTTTCTTCTCTGTTCTATGAGTACAGCTTTAAAAGGGAAAGGTGTGTTACATTGGACCAAAAAAAACTAAGTGGGATGTTTTTGTACAAACATTTTTGCAATAAAAAAATAACACATTACCTCGATGTTTAGGTACAGGCCATATTTGCAAAAGGTACTTCAGTAAGCTGATAGGTTGGGAGTAGTCCAGGTCTGGCAGTCGACATCCTGGGGTGGTTGTTTCGTTTGATTGTAACATTAGGGGAGGCGCTAGGGCTGTTGCTAAGTTTTGAGCGGACATTTTGTTCCTGTCTGATGCTGATACCACTAACGATAAATGGTCCATAATAAAAATCAGGGTTGCCTGAAACAAATTAAAAACAAAATATTCTTGGAGAAAAAATTAAAGGTGTGCAATTGGTGTTCGAATAGAGGATTCAAAATTGTTGAACATTGAATGTGTGTAAAAATTCTAAGACTCACCCTATTAATTCTCGGTAAGCAGTCCAGTATGGAGAACATGAGCTTGGCATTTCCTTCAGGATCGTCGGGGAGACACACTCCCAACGCGTCTACCATCATCTGATAAAGACACTTAGTAAATAATGGTTCAGGCAATTCCCTTAAGTAGTCCTTGAGGACACCAGTGATGACGTTTATGTCAGGAACGTTTTCTGGAGTAAGGTCAACAGACCTGCTGTTACGCTCGAAAGCTTCCCTGAGAATTCGTTTCTTTGTAGCAGAACCACAAAGTCGATAAAGTCCTGCAATTGAACAAAAAAAAGTGTTATTAATATTTAGCAGGAGAACAGAGGACGCTGTGGAAGTAAATGAGAAATAGTGGAGATAGATTGGTAGGACAACTTTTCAGCCATGAAAAATACTGGTATGCAAGAGAAGAAAAAGTAGAGAAAGAGTGAATATAAAGATAGGAGACGAAAAATTAGAAGAAGTGGCCGATTCTAGGTGTCTAGGAAGTCAGATAAGTCAGGGCGGAAGGAGTAGGAGGGATATAAAGCAGAGGATACAGCAGGATCATATGGCCTTCAATAAAAAGAAGGCACTTCTATGGTCGCGAACGGTTAATTTAGAAATTCGAAAAAGGTTGTTAAAGGTGTATGTTTGGAGCGCGGCGCTGTACGGATGCGAAACATGGACAGTGAGCGCGGCAGAAAAGAAAAGTTTAGAAGCGTTCGAAATGTGAAGTTCCAGGCGAATGATGAGGATACCGTGGATAGAGAAAATAAGAAATGAGATATTAGAAAGAATAAGAGAACAGAGGACTCTATGAAAGTCGATAAAAAATAGGCCGGATAGGTTGGTAGGACACCTTCTCAGGCATGAACGTCTAGTCAGAGACATGTTAGAGATAGAAATAGGAGTTAAGAGGAGTAGAGATAGATCCAGATTAGATTACTGTTCGCAAATAGTTAAGGATGTGGGATGTTTTAGTTTTAAGGAAAATAAAGGATTAGTATGAAATAAGAAAAAGTTTCAGGACTGACAACCTTATGATGATGAAGATGATGTTTTCTACTAATGCTAAGTTTCAGGAAGAAATTGCACCATCAGTTTCATCCTCGTACTCATATCGTAGCCCTCAAAATTTTACAAGTACTTAATCATATTTACCTATAATGTCTAAACCTCTCCTCTCAACTTCTTCAACACATCGTTTAACGATTAAAGGAACTTGTAATGTGCCCGCAATTAAACCAGTAGCAACTCCCCCGGGTACTCCTCCTGTCCTAGATTCTCTACTAACCTGAGAAAAAAATATTTTTGTATAAACATTTGTCCCTTCATAGGTGTGGAATCTAAAAGTACCTTTTTTTAATAATAAAATTGCATGAAGCCATGATCTATTTACTCCCTACGATAAAAGAAATGGAAGGATAAAACAATGGGGGTAGCAACATTGTTCTTCACTCTACATTGTAAAATATTTAATGGAATTACATATTTTTGACTCTGTCATGTTGATAAAGAAAATTTTATGCAAGATAATGATTGTACTACCCTCCATGTAATAAGTTTCCACATTAATGCTAATGATGTAATCAAGCAAGAAATTTATTCAGACCAAAGTGAATATTCGTTTACTGACAAAGAGAAGGTTCACTGCTAAACCTTTTAACAGACAATTCATCAAAATTTCACGAAATGAATTCCACCCCATTACCTCGTCAAACACAAAGAAATTAAACTTACGACTGTTTCCAAGTCGACCCCAAACAGGGGAGGGTTCGTTGTTCTCGTCAAACTTATACTAGAAACGGCTTTCCTTCGGTAGACAGTGTGCGAGTCGGTGTACCTTAATCGTAGGTAAAGCGTCCCTGAAACAAGAATATTACAAAGTCTGTTTGAATGGGGTGTGTAAGACAACAATTGCTTTACCCCTCGGCTCGATTTTCAGGGCGAGTTGGTGTAACGGCCCCGTTTTTAGTAACGATGGCAGATGAACAGATCCCTTGTAACAGAGTTTGTGTCGATATTGTGGATCCCACGAATACACAAGAAGATCCAATTCGCGATTGTTCACCAGATCTAACTCGAAACTTTCATCCCAGTCAAATACGAGGTCTCCTGTTCTAACCTGAATTCAAGGAAGTTGTGTTACTACACATCTACTAAGCTAGGAATGGAATTGTTGCCAGAACTACTTATAGAATTTGAAACACAAATATGTAGTCACTTTTATAGTTTAAGGTTCACTTACAACTGTCCTAGCTTTATGAACTCTATCACATTCCAAAACGCAGTAAAGGTCCCGTAGGGTTCCAGAACCGCCTGGAAATTAAATTTTTTTTTTAGTTTAAGACAGATAGTAAAATGCATAAAAACAGTAAAGAACGCGTGGAACAAATTCATTTAAAATTTGCTCGGATACGTCGATCTTAATTTTTGGCTGCGGGTTTTTTTAATGGTAAATTAATGTATACATGGTGGCCCAAAAATGAACGACTACCACCAACTTTATTTTTTCAAATGGAAGAACCCATTTTTTATTACATTTTTAAATTCTGCGTCGAATTTTAGCTATGTTTCATGTACTTAGACCAACTATAAAATTACATAATACCCAGATAAAGTGGGTTTTACTCAAATGCTGAAAACCTAAATATACCCGAACTCCGTCCGCGATTTTTTCTTCCAGTTAAAAAAAAAGCAGTAGGAGTATAAGTGAAAAAGGCAGAAAAAAGAACGAAAATTATCCTTCATAAGAAAATACATAGGATTTTGAGCTGAAACTGTCACTGTTTATTTACTTAGCAGATTCTGTATGGCTTAAACAGGATGGGTCACCCGAATGGTCAATTAGATCTCTAAAACCTGAACCCATTCGATTTTTATCTATGGAGTTATCTGAAATCTAAAGTCTATTTCAATAAACCGGAAAAAATTGAAGAATTGTAGAGTAGAATTAGAGCTGAAATACAACAAATCCAGCCACAAACCTTGACCAAAGTGTTCAGACTAGAAAAAGTGGCAAGACATAAAACAAATAATGTATGACGAATGTTTTAATAGTTTTTGGCATGTACTAGGACTGATTCAGGTTAGCAAGATTTGTATTCGCACCTGCACCATCAGTCCTTTCAACCATCAGTCCTTGTTAATTTGCATATATTTCTGTGAAAAATATTAAGAATTTCCGGTGGAAGAAAACATATCTCAAATTATAATTGTAAAAAGTACTCAAAAGTTTCATTTTGGCATATCTAATGTTTCTATGATGTACGGTATGTGCCAAAAAAACAGATTATTAGTCTAGATCCTGTAATAATTGTATAGGTTGCTGGTTACTTACCTATACTAGGCGTACTTCCGCTTGGTGTCACAGGGGTAGTAGCTGTAGAGCCACCAGTGGATGGTCTGAGACCTCTTCCTGCTAATAAATGAACCCAAAGCATACCGCTTACGGGTTCATCAGTCGACGGAAGTGTACCGCTCATGGGAAGTCCTGTTCCACCGACACCTCCTGGTTTGTCTATTTTATACTTTAAGAATTCTAAAAGGGACATGATCGAAATAATTGAATGTAAGGCTCATGAAAAAGCAATTTTACCAGCAGGGTTGATATCCAGCTGGCGTTGTCCTCGTGGTAATGTGCCACTGGGAGTTGGTACTGGGCTTGGGGCGGCTGCAGCCCTTCCAGAATCTAAATCTAACAGTTGTCTCATCCGACGCATTGATGGAGACCTCGATGATGATAATGCTATTGGAAAAATGTTTTTGATGTGAAACTTCTTTACGCACGGTAGGGTAAGTTCGTTTCATGCGAGCTGCTATGTAACGAAATCATGCAACGCATTTCCCCCGCTATCTGGCCCTATGTATGCTTAGATCTTTAAAGCTACGCAACGGATTTTAATGCGTTTCTTTTTAGTAGATAGAGTAATTCAAGAGGAAGGTTTACATGTATAATACATGCATAATATAGTAGAGAAACACTGATAATTTTAGAGGTTTGTAATGATATGTCGTAAATAAACACATTTTTTTTCGCTTACATTGCAAACGCTGGCTGAACTCTACGAGAGATCAAAATAATGTACTACAGTGTTGTACACCTTAAAAAGGTCTACAAAAAAGTCCGGGATGGTATACGTCTATATCTTAGGGATAACCCACAATAACCATTTTTTATCATTTACTTTTTACGAGAAATAATGGCTTACTTACGAAGCGATTTTAAGCAATACAGCATTAATCCTTATCCAATTGAGTACTTTTAAATACATTGTGCATTGAATATAGATCAATATGGCCCTTTACAGCATGTAATTTAAATGAATATTGTCGAAGATATTACAGACTTAAAATGCAGGGACGTAGCGGTTGTGGCGGTACCGGGCGGTTTGTATTGTCTAATGACAAAAAAGCTGTGATTGTTGTATATAAAGACATTTTATAGTATATTTACTATCAGCATTGCACCCGTGCGAAGCATAGTGTACAAATAATCCCATTAAACCAATTCCTTAACCCCCTATCCCGGTATGTTTGTGTGCTTGAAGAAGTTTCACTTCAGCAGCGTGTTGTATAATTACACGTAGTATTTTTTTTTATTGCTTAAGATTAATAAAATTCATGTAATAATTTGAAAGAGGTAACAAATGTTGCTGTTGCTTTTTACATAGTGTAATATATAAATACATAATTCAGTAAATCGTAAATACCTGATGTGGATGAGGTAATATGTTGTGTTGATAAAGATCGAGCAGGCACTGTTGGGTGTTGAGTTCGCGTGAAATGCCTGTCAAGTGTCGAAGTTGTCCCCGGTCTTCCGTATGCACCGTAATAACTTCCTTCGGCCTGAAAAGAGCGATTCAATAAAGTCAAATAGTCTACAAAATACATAAATATTCGGTGCCTACATTTTTCAATGCCTGATGTATGTTCTCGGCGCTGTAAGTGAATCTGGCCGCCCGTTGTTGATTCAGGACGTCCCTAGACGCCCTTATTTGTTCGTATATTGCCGAAGTCGAAGGGGTACGACTCAGCCATTGACGGTATTCATCTGAAGTGAACACTCCAGCGGATGGTATTCTCCCTAAGTTGCATCAAATTCATTAAAAGCGTAAAAAATTAATTACAAGAGGGGATTAAAAAGTTCGGGGTCTCGCAGAAACATAAGGAAAACACCGAATTTGTTCTATTCGTATTACGAGAGTGCGTTTTTAAGTTCGAGGAATGGGTCAGTAGGTCATTAGTGAGGGTAGTTATTCGAGTCATTACGAATTTAGTTACTCATTATTAGTAAAAATACTAAGTTTTATCGTAATTAGGTCAGTAGTCTTCGAACTGTCGTCGACGAAACAACTCAATCGGGAACAAATAGTGAAATATGGAAAAAATCGAGTACTTCGTTGTTATATAGTTCCTGATCAAGCAAGGAAAATCAGTTCAAACCGTACTGGAAGAGATGTCATCCGTTTACGGGGACCCTTGCCCAGGTAAAACCATGGCTTACAAGTGGCATACCCTTTTTAAGAAAGGTAAAGACGACCCACGGCCAGCCCGGCCGATAGAGGTGACTACTCCGGAAATCATTCAAAAAGTCGAACAAACAGAATAGCTCAAAACCCCAACGCCAAAACACGACACTGTAGTTATCCGAAGCACTTTTCGGTAACAAGGTTACCTTCTTTAGGGACTGAAGAAAAGTGTTTCGGATAACTACAGTGTCGTGTTCTGGCGTTGGGGTTTTGAGCTATTTTGTTTGTTCTAATACAACCGCCAAAGTTTTTCCAATCTTCATAAATTCAAAAAGTCGAAAAATTAATACATGAAGATGTTCGGGTTAGGAAGAAACTGCTCGCAGAAATGGTAGGACTATCAGATACAACCATTTTTAAAATTCTTCACGTCAGCGCCGAGAATGCTCACTTCGCTTCAAAAATAACAGCGTGTGGAGTGTTCTCGCGCGTTTTTGAACCTCTGTAGTAAAGATAAAGATATTGACTCGAATTGTTATAAGGGGTGATACTTGGGTTCATCATTGTGAACCTGAATCCAAACAGGACTCTATGCAGTGGCGCTAACAGGGCCCACCACCACCCAAAAGGTTTAAGGTTTCACAATCGGCTGGGAAAATCATGGCGACAATCTTTTGGGACTCAGAGGTTATCCTGTTGATCGATTATAAAGATATTGGTGTCTCCAACATGGGAGAATGCTATGCTTCAATACTAGAGCGGTTAAAGGAAGCAGTCAAAGAAAAAAGAAGATTAAAATTGACCAAAGGTGTCCTCCTTGTGCACGACAACGCGCCTGTTTACAAAAGCAGTGTTGCGATGGCTGTCTGGGAGAAGGGGGGCTTCGAAATTTTGGCTTACCCACGCTACAGTTCTGACCTAGCTCCCAGCGATTATTACCTACTCCCAAACTTGAAAAAAGTCTTCGTGGGAAGAAATTTTCAAGCGACGAAGATGTCAAGGATGCTGTTTCAGCGTATTTTTCAGACAAAGACAAAACATTTTTATTCGAAGGTATACAGTAAGTTAATTGAAAGATCGGAAAAATGTGTAAGGATAGCAGGTAAATATATATTGAAAAGGAAAAATAAGTTTGTACTTTTAATTCCACTTCTTACCCCCCCCCCCATTCCGCGAACTTAAAAACGTCTCCTCGTATGTTCATCAATTATTGAGTTTTCATAGTGTATAGTTTGGTATTAGTGATGGTAGTTCTGGTTATACTGGTTTGAATAACGTCAAGTATCCAAGTTTAAAAAAATGGAGCAATTAAGAAGTAAGCATCTACTGTGTTAAGTTTGAATCATCAGATTCTTATGAAAAGCTCATAAGGCATATTTGACATCAGAATCGCTGATTTGTTTTCCGAGGGTCCTGATGAGGAATCTCTTTACTGGCATACTCCTTATTTGCCACATGAATACCATGTACTAAGTGAGATCATTATTACGTCGAAAGATAAAACTGATTGGTTGTGCAGATTAGGTATAGATATAGATTTATCTAAATGTAAATTTCAAAATGGTGATCATTGTATTTTCAATTCTATGACACTATTTTGAATGTAGTATGAAGTAATGTATCTTAAAACTTTGTACCTTTACAATATAAGAACAAAGGCTTTCACGGCTGGAATCCATAGTAGAATGAAGATTCGGGCTATAGGGCCGTGGTTTAAGTGAACTATTCTATCCAGACGTTTCGTCGGCTACTGCGGCTGACATCATCAGTGGTAGTGCTGCGTTAACAACGCTGTTGAGACTTCGAGATATATTCTACGTTCACGTTGTCAACGCAGCACTACTACTGAGGATGTCAACCGCAGTAGCCGACGAAACGTCTGGACAGAATATAGCCCGAATCCTTACTCTACTTTGTACCTTTACCTTAGATATATTACGTCGTTCAACGTCTTTAATTTCAACAGATCACTAATTTATTTTGCCTTAGACATTAAGAGAGAAGGCATTTAGAGATTTTGTCCTAGCTACAAACAATATGAATATTAATTGATGAACTTTATCATTACCTTTTGTTACTCTTTCCTGAATAATTATTCTACTTAGCATCTGACAATTGCTTTTGTTAAATGTACTACTGTAAAATGTAGAGAGCGTTTAAAATAGTAATTGCGATTCGTAAACTACTGTCATCTATCAGTCGATTTTGAATAGGTTACATTAAGTATGCACTAGTACCGTTAGCAATAGCTTACTGGATCAGTGTAAGGTCTATAAAGCTATGTATATTTGTTGCTCACCCCTATCTTTTCGTATCGAAGGCATTTCGGGGGCAGACAGGGTGCCGTCAGATTCGTCGTGTACCAGCGAGACGCTTCGATCTCCGAATCTTTTATTCATGGCGCTCAACCTACATAAAGAGGAAGGAAAGCGAACGGCGGATGATTGTGAAGATCAATTTGTCATAATCTTTCGAAAAATTACAAACTCACCTCGTCGTTGAACCCCGGGCTGAATCGCGGGGCAATGAATTGAACTTGGTGCTTATGTCTGCAGCCGTTAGCGAATTATTTCGACCCAGTGTGGGAATTGTGCTGTGCGGTATTACGCCTTGGTTCCTGAAAATAAAAACAGGGAAATGGAAGGATAAATAACTAATCAAGTGCGAATTTTTACTGACACTGATATTTAACTATGTAACTCTCTATTTATATGAAGTATTTAACTTTTTTTCGGAAATTATAGGGAGATTGCTATTGTTGGCCATGAATCAAATGATTATTATCAGCTTTATTTTATACTTTGTTTAGTTTCTCTAGCGATGTGACCTTTAGCATGACCGGTGCAAGGTAGAAAAGAACAGCACTAGGCCAGAAAAGAAAGGAGACAACTCTCGGCCAAACTCTTAATCGGTGAGGAGCGTATAATCCGTACAGTACTGCACGGAAAAATTGACCATTTTATCCACTAAAATTATATTGTTCAAATGTGCTGTTATTGGTATTAATTACTACTGAAAATATCAACGAGTTGTTTATTTATATTTGAAGACATATTAAAGGCTTTAACGCTTGTTTTCAACTCGCATTACTATTCATGATTGAACAAAACTTTTGGCAGGTACTGTATGAAAAAGTATGTTTAATGAACAAGCGTGAGTTTTTTTTGTCCCTACCTACGATTTTACCAGCGCGCATCCAAGATATTGGAAGGGGCACATTGCTAGAGAAAGTAAATGAAGTATACTCACGATGTACATACCTATATCTTTTTTATTTAATTTATTTTGCGAACCTGTAAAATTTTTGGAAAACTTTTAGTTTGTTTAGTTTCAGAAATTTTGGAAATAATGAGTATTTTGGGCAATATTTCTTGAATTCAGACGTATACAGGTTCAAAAAGGGTGTTTTTGGATTCTTTATTGACGGACTTTCTGAATAACAACTCGCTTGATGCAGGGATGTGGAATTTTTTGTTTAGTTTAGTTTAAATTATTTAAAGGTTTAAATTTCAATGATTAATAGCTTTCAATAAAACACGTGCAGAAGGACATATGAGAACGTATTAAGGTGTCGCTTTTCCGTCTTTAAACATACGAAACGTCAAAATAGAATGATAAATTAAAATGCTAACTTCAAAAAAAATAGGGATTACAGAGATTAGATAAAATAATTACTAAACTGTAAAAGTTGCTTTTTAATAAAAAAAATCGAATGTTATACGCCAAAAGACTATACGGTAACACCATTACCTACTTACAGTTTGTTTTTCTATTTGTTCATCTGTGTACCGGTATTTTTCTTTATGGTAGGTACATATACATACACTAATTGCAAAAATTTTTGGATAAGCTAAACTGCAACTGAAACTGCTTTTTGTAAGCACTTTTTTGAGATTTACTTGTAATGTAGAATGTTGTATCTACCAATTTCTATTTTGTGTTTAAAAAGGATGACTGAAGTCGATGTACGACCTAGTTATGAAGTCATTTTTTTAAAGGCATATGTGACACTTCAAAATATCAACTTTACGTCGACTCCCTGGAAAAACTCAACAGTCTCAAAATATGCAACACATTCTTAGAGTCAAAACAATAATTTAAGATGTGCATTTTTTATTTTATCCGCGAATTGTGGGATACTCACACTGCCTCGTGTGAAGCCCGTGCATTAAAGGATTAGAACACCTTGCTGAGGAAATGTGATCGCTAGTAGCTAATGCAAACATGTAGAGTGGTGCTTAATATCTCATTATTACAGCTACCTAACTTTTAATCGCAATCATAGATTGTTACTGCAGGTATAATATTTATACCTACGGATTTTAAATTTAAAACTCATTAGGGCTCTTACCGACCCTTGCATGATATTGTTTTGAAAGCATGAATTCATTTGAAATGGGGAAATAATTGGCAAATAATGGTTCCTAGTTTATGTTTTATTTTTTGTGTGAAATCTGAAATACAGCTCAATATCAATATCAATTGTTGTTGTGACTGTAAAACATTTTAAATCAAGAGTCGCTAAATTGGAAGGATATGTAAAATAATAAAATTAATATTGAACGGTAATACCTAATTAATTAAAAAAGGAAATTGCGTGATGGAAATTGTTTTTATTTTCATCAGACGATCACGTTCTATTACAGACTTTGAATTCTTAAAATGGATATGTAATACAGTGAATTTTTTTAGGCACGCTTGTAGAATAATTTTGTGGATATTTTGGTTTACGGTGAGGACGCCGTAAGCTCTTGGTGAAACATTTTCAATAAAATAAATTAAAATCAAGAATAACCAATATTCAGTTCACTCGGTAAAAATGTTCAGTCTCTCAGAGTCTTTGAAAGCGAGAGTCGTGTCTCCGTTTCTCATCGAGACTGTTTAGCGTCTCTGAACGAGAGACTCGAATCGCTCGTAGAGAGATCCTCATTTCGTATCCAGTCTCTGAACGACAGACTAGAATCTCTGGTGTCTTGATACCATGGTTAAAATTTCAAGTTCAACATATTTCAGAGATCCCAGTCTTTCTACGAGAGACTCGAGTCTCTCGATTTTTCGGTTTTATTCATTCAATCTTTCCGTAAGAGACTCGAATCTCTGAATTAACAATTTTGTCGTTCGAATCTCTCATATAGAGACTGTGAGAGATCCATAAAAACACCTAGGCAATAACTGAGAGACTGTGAAAGACTGTGAGAGACGCTCTCAGAGACTCTGAAAGACTCTGAGAGACTCGAGAGAGACTGACTTTTTGTCTAGGGATTGTCTGTGGGTTGATTTTAAATAGAACATTGGATTGTTTCAGAATAAACTAAATACATGCCTATTGGGACTAAAGATTATACTCTTAATATAGGTAATCCTAGTGTTTGACTTAATTCGTTTTATTGACCATTTTTTGCTAAAATAAGAATATACCTCCAGACCACTTGCGTAAAAATTTACATGTATTGTACTATTGAGCATAGTAAAATAGGTGATAGATATAATTTTTATAACAAAATGTGGGAAATTGGGGATCTCAGATTATGAGCAGGTACTTTAGTATACCGCGGGACAGCGTCTTAATTTCGTCATCTTACGGCCCTTCTGTCACTTGTACTAACAGCACTTTCTTAATTACGAACACGAACCCTTTTACACCACTCATCATATTTCTCGTTCAAAGCTAATAATAATAATCTCTCTTTTTCCTTCTGTTTTTTCCAAATTCCAAATTTTACTATTTAGTAGAAAAACGTGAAAGTTGATAAAATTGAAATAAAGTACTCAAATAAAGTTTCGTACGGAATTCAACAATTTTGAAACTGTTGATATTAATTATGATTCATTATTTTTGAATTCCAATTCCAATATCTTCGAGAGTCATAGATTTGTTTGTGATGGATGAAGAATGATAACACCATATTGTACGACAAAGTGAAGGAAATCAAGTTTGTCACGTAATAATTCCACACTGTATTAGAAGTAAATGATTTTTAGATGAGACCTTCCTTTACGCCTTATTTTAAGTCAATGTGGAGTAGGTACCGCATACGTTTGTTAATTAGTGAGTCGACTTAAAGCACAAATTTATGCTCTAGGTAATCGACAAACAGACAGAAGAGTGGAATAATCGTTAAAGCGTTTCGTTTTCTTATTTCGAGGTACTAAACTATAAAAAAAGATTTTTATCGCATGTCATCTGGACTTACCTGTAGTAGTAATAACTGCTTCTAGGACCGAGAGTAGCTTCCGTATCACTTGAATAGTCCAAGCTACCTCTTGTCCTTCTGCTGAGTGTTCCTGCTGTTCCAGGTGTACCATATTGACTCATCGTTGCCGTTCCGTATTTTGGTCCACTCATTTGTGGTGTTTGATCAACATATCTTTGATTATATCTGCTTAAAATACGGAGACAATTCATTTTATCGCTCTTGATGGACATCTATCTACTCTTAATTAAATCTAAAATTTTTTTTTCAACTTTGCAAGGTATTGTCATTGGTGCGTTTAAATGAGAACACGTTTGTTAGTTCTACACGTATATCATAGTTTATTTGACTAGGAATAATGTAAAAAAATCATAACAATAAAAGTATGAAAATTGTGGATTTATTATAATAATTTGGTTTTAATAAACGGCTATAATTTGTAGGTCCCTGTTCCAAAATTGACCGTATGTATTAAAAAAAAAAGATTTCTAAGCTTTCAAAGGTGTATTCTCGATGAAACATTTTCAATAATAAAGGAAAAGAAAGGAAAGGATGTTTCAACAAAACTGTTTATTCCACGACAACTGTGTCGACCTCTAAAAGGTCATTTTCAAGAGTACAATAGTAACTTTTAGAAAATACTACAAATGGTGCAGTAAACGCCATCTGTAGCACGATGCTATTTTAGGATTACGTATGCTCGTATACTTCGAATTATTTTATTCGAATTATTTTATACATTAGTAACTGTTAACAACATTCTAACTATTGTACTCTTGAAAATGACCTTTTAGAGGTCGAAACAATTGTCGAGGAATAAACAGTTTTGTTTCTTCTTTATTAAATGATTTCGATTTGACTTATCATTTAATTGTTATACAAGTTGCAAATGCAGTAAAAATGACATTTCAGGGCTAATTTCAATTTTTCGGTATTCTTTTATCGTTATCTTTTATTTATCAGCTAAAGCTTGGTTTTATACGCATGCTAATAGTTAACAAATAATTTCCATGTTGTAATAACTTAATTTTTATAGTCTTTCCACGAAGAACATATTTTCGTTAGTTGACCCAAAGACGATTTGTCGATTTACTTTTACAGTGGATTTCGGGTATAACGACAACGAAGGGACCACTGTAATTTCGTCGCTATATCCAGAATTCATTACAGGCAATGTTAAAGGCGATACGGACAGAAATACAGACAGAGATTTCGCCATTTTTAACAGTAAATGTATATCTGGAAGTCACAGTTATTGAAAAGTTTACTAAACGCAGTTGCTACTCAGAAACCACGGTAAAGGTCACCACACTCGTTGACAATGTGTGTTGATGTAAACAAAAGGTAAGAAAGCTTTCTGTGTCTTTAAGGGCTGACTCCGGTCGCTATATCTGCATGGGATTACTAGCGATTTATTACAAATTATTCATTAAAAGCAGTCGCTACATCCGAACTCGGCGTTACTTCCGAAGTCGCTATAGCCACATGAATTTTATTCTAAAGGATGCTTTAAATTCAGGGGACTTACATATGACGTTTGCTATAGCACAGTGGTCGCTACAACCAAGGTCGTACTAAATGAAATCCACTGTATTTACTTGATATATAGAATCAAAGGTGTCCACCCTATTTTGGTTTTTATTATCATGAGGACAAAAACAAATGGAAATTTTATTTTACTTGAATCTGATTGCGATTTAAAGTTTATAAAAAAATTCTGTCAATTATACCTGCTAAGAGTTGATCCAGATTTTAAACTTGATCTAAGTAAACTATGCCGTCCAGCGGGGGTGATACTTGTGTAATCCGCGTACTCCGTGTGGGGTAAATGTTGGTCTGAACCGGATCTAGGCATTATCCTTCTTGAGCCAGTACTAGGATGTTGAACATAATAGTGCGGACTTTGCTGGGACAATCTGGAATAAAACATTGATTCTGTAACTAAGTCTTCAGTTTTGAGCATATATTTTTCACAATATGAATTAGAACTGAACGCTGCCTATGACGCACTAAGGAGATCATATAAGTAGCGGTGTCAGTGTGCATCCTTGTCTGACTCCCTTCTCTACGTTGCTGCTCCAGCTCTATAACTGCCTGTTGCTCTTTATACAAACTAAGTATCACTCTTCTATCTCTGTAACTCATCCCTACATTTTTAAGTATATTTAACATCTTGTCCCATTTAATATGTCAAAAGCTTTTTCTAAATATACTAATAGTTCTTCCGCCCTTTTTTCCATCCTCCTCTGTACAATTCTAGCTAAGATTTTTGACGCATGGGAAGTTAAGCTAATTGTTCTAAATGTCTNCTCTGTAACTCATCCCTACATTTTTAAGTATATTTAACATCTTGTCCCATTTAATATGTCAAAAGCTTTTTCTAAATATACTAATAGTTCTTCCGCCCTTTTTTCCATCCTCCTCTGTACAATTCTAGCTAAGATTTTTGAGGCATGGGAAGTTAAGTTAATTGTTCTAAATGTCTCGCATTTATCCGCGCCTCTCTTTTTAAGTATGGTTACTAACACGTTCCGTTTGTAATCTTTCGGGACTTTCCCGCTTTCGTAAATGTTACTAACTAGCTTAAACATACGATCTCTAACCTCTTGTCCTGCATGATTTAATATTTCCGATTGTATCCCATCTATACCTGATACCTTATTATTCTGTAAGTTTTTTTAATGTTACATCGAACTCTTCTCTTATTATGGGTTAACCTAGCTCATCCATTTCCACACTATCTTCCTTCTCTAATATATCTCCTAACTCATGGCCTGCGTATAGTATTCTTTCCACCTGTTTTTTAAGTTCTTCTCCTACCTTCCTTTTGTTTCAGAATTTTCACTTTAAGATTGGTCTTGATAACTACTACGTTATGATTGCTATGTGTGTCTCCTCCTGGAACATGTATAGTCCTTCACTTAATTTTTAAATCTTTGCCTAACAAGTAATCTAACTGATACCTTCCTAAATCACCTGGCATCTTCCACATATAGCACCTCCTAACGTGATGATTGAATAAGGTATTCGCGACAGTTAAGTTATATTTATCGCAAAATTCTGTCAGTCTATATGATAATACGCAAGTTTCTGAGATTCATATAGTCTTGAAACATGGGTTGACAGACATACTGTTACTTAAATGAGTTATGAGCATTCGGTTTGTTCGATTGAGGTACCTCAAAAATGTAAGTAGGTGGAATATAAAACATTCTTTTTATTTTTTACATTTAACAATCATTTTCACCTTGAAGATGATAATGGCTGTGTTCCGACACTCATTCTACGGCCAGGAAGTGCAAATGAATGAACTTTTTCCGCTAAGCTTTCGAGAGTGTTCGGATAGGTCCTTTCGTAGGGTTGAAAGTGTTGCATGCTCGATTTGGGTTGTTCCGTAATAACAGGAGGCGGCGGCTGATAGCCCCAAGAGGAACCGGACGAGTCGGGCGGTCTTGAATTATAATACAAATCTAGTCCGTTTGACTCTTGCGAATGCCGTGAATCCATCGAAGAGATGCCCAAACCGAGAGACCGTGATCGGGACTCACTCGTCTCGCGTCCATCTCCATGACGACGAATTGAAGAGTCCCTGTCCCTATCTCGGTCTCTGTTGAAAAACGAAATCATCTTAATGATAATATAGCAAAACTATAGTGATAATATGCCTATAACATATAAAAGTAGCGCGCGTATTAGATTTGGTTTCGCAAATACATGATACCTTTGCAAGGTTTTATACTGCCTGTTACTTAATATCAATCCATTTATTTACAAGGAGATATGATGGTTAATCGAAACTACCTATACCGTGCTGATGAGAGGCAGCAAGTTCGGAATCGCGACCCACTCGTAGTGGTTTCGTTATAATCATTACATAATAATTAAGGCAGTGTCGTTTAGGGGATGTCCCATTGCTACCCGTCCCATTGCTATCCGCGAAAATATTTTACTGAAATAGTAGCATCGCTGCCCACCAACTTTATTACTCTCATAATTAATTTGACTTTATAATTCGATATTATAATGCGTATGCAAATTTTTTATAATTCTTTTAAACGTGTTTAGAATAATTTGCTCAATTTATCGATATAGTTATAGACAATATAATAAATGTACCAAATATTACACACCAGTAGTGGTCAATTAATTATATTCGAACGGGAAACCGTTCCAGTTTCATAACGCGGATGGAGAGATAAATTCCTCTGTTGTTATAAGTTTACCAAACATATAAATATGCTGCTTCCAGAATTAGGATTATTTAGTTTCAAAAAAAACGGCAATAATAACGTCTCAAATTTTGGATTCGATTTGGAGTTGGTTGAAAGTGCTTGGGGTAAACAATAAATTGTGTTAGAAGGTTACAAATACTGTCTAAGAAGAACAAACAAAAAAGAAATTGTCGCTAATTTTATTTCATGTTGCCTCTACTCCTTACTAGATACAGATACTACTTTTTTTAAAATGAAGTGGCTTCTAGATACCTACGTACAGTAGAATATAGGAGGGAAATGACAAACACGTCATACTAAGCAGACGTCATACAAAGCATATTCTTAGAAAATAAACAACTTTTTATTTTGGTTAGTTATGTATTTTAATAGAGAGAAGAACTACAAATTGTATATATTTATTAACAGAAAAAGAAAAAGAACGATGAATTGTAATATCAATATACAT